TTATTATAAAATTTCGTTTCTTGGTAGATTCCCAATTTGGTTTTTCAAATTTACGTTCGTAAATCTTCGTCTTCCGTTCTGCGTCAACTTATGACCTCTTTAACAAGATGACAAAATCACTTCGCTTGTTTGGATCTCTTTAGGCCCCTATTCAACAGCCATTCTTTTGAATATTTTGGGAATAATGAGTTTTGAAATAGTAATTTTTTGAAAAACGTACGATTAAAAAGTAGGAAAAATTTTGTGCTTAGATGAAAAATATTTTACTGTGAGAATGAATGATTGAAAATGGGTACGGAAAAAAAAAATTAAAAGAATGGTTACCAAGGGGCTTAGTATTGTATTTAACAGAGACACTATTGAAGCCACTTTTTTAGGAGCTAAATCTATAAGTACTCTTTTTTTGGTAGCATTTTATTTGCAACCACTTCAAGGATTAACCATGGCATTATTGGGAAAAGTCTTCCCACCTTTGATTTTATTACAATCCAAAATATAAACCCGTTTATCAGGTTCGGGTTGCTTCAAGAGACATGACTTCAGTCATAACTAATTGCTTCAAGAAAAATTGGAGCCTTTGTGGGATGATGGATATCGGACTCAAACAGCAAAGGATTACTTGGAGACAGTCTCTGTGGGATGATGGATATTCGATTGCCCCGGTGATTTTTGCCCGATTGAATCCAGGCCCCCGATTAAAAATTCACCAGTTCTGTGCTTACCAAGTATTTGTATCACCATCAACCAAGAATCTGAAAAAGCAACACTAATTTTATCATTTATGACACAGTTTCTGAATTTTTTTTATAAGGAAATGACAATTTAGATGATTGATATTCACTCTATATATCTCAAAATGGGCCTTAATAAGAGGAGAATGTGTTATGTGTTTACAAAGTCAATAGGCGTAATTCGGGATCCAGAAGTAATCATTACAATCTACCCCTTTTTAGGTACTTTATGGACTAGTCTTTTAAGTAGAATTCTAAGCAACAAAACACTAATTTTATCATTTCTGACGTAGTTTTTTTTATTATTTTACAAGGAACCAACAAATTAATTTCTACGAGGAGAATGTTTAATGTGTACACAAAGTCACAAGACATTTTACGAGTAATTGGGACCCAGAAGTAATCACTACAAGCTACTCCTTTTTAGGGTACTCTACGAACTAGTCGTTTAAGGAAGTAGAAGTCGCTAGGTGGTTCTAACCACAAGGGGATGCTTTGATAGAACAAAGATATATTAGCTTAAGAGGAGAGAATGCTCAATGTATTTACAAACCAAAAGAACGGACTTTTCAGAAGTACTACGTGACACGAGATCGCAGCAAAAGATATACAACAAAACATTAAGGAGATGTTTTCATCAGACTTACATAACATTGGATCAAGCAAAGTGCAGAAAGAAAATTCAAGTAAACTCAGTAAGACTTGTGAACATCTGGGAATATTCCGCCTTCCTACAAGCCCTGTAATTTTTTCAACTCTGGAAAATGGAAAAATAGTGAGGGGGGCCTGTTAGGGGTCTGTTATCACATGCTTTTCAGGGCTGAAATTGGAGCCATTGATGAAGAATACTTGAGAGAGAAGAAAGTCATACTTCATGGAGCTGCACATCCAGAATTTTTTGCAGAAAATATTGAAGCTCCTCTACAGGTTATTACTAGGTTCAATAGGTTAGATTATTCGGGGAGTTCCTGTAACAGCAAGAAACTTTTTCAAGATACTGTCAAGCAAGTGGCATGTTCTTCTATATCCAGGCAGATGTACGGGAGGCGTTGCAACAGAAAGGCGAAACATACAAGCTGTTTGGGCCAGAGGAATCTGAATTTGGAAGAATGGTATTAAAATTCGAGCAGAAATTTTTTCCCTTTGGAGTAGTTGGCAAGTATGTACTGGAACAGTCTCTTGATTACAATGATGTGATGAAAATTCCCCTTATGAAGAAATTAATGAAAAGAAGAAATACTCTTATGGCCAAAGTAAGGAGAGGGACTCGAGTGACAGTAGTAGGAAATCGAGATTTCTTCTTCCAGGGATTTATCCGAAAATAGCAGGCCGATTTTATTTTCTGTTAGGGAAGCCAGTTGAAACAAAGGGAAGGGAAGAGCTTCTGAAAAACAAATAAGTTTGAAAGGAATTTTATTTGCAGATACAATCTGAAATTACAAGAAATGTGAATTACTTCATCAAGAAGCGAGAGGAGGATCCAAATCGCCATGTCTTTGAAAGGGCTATCGTGCTCTTTCAGGTCCTGTTCATCAAATTTCAGCGTTTGATCTTTGAATTCTGTTTAATTAGTTTTTAAAAGCATGAATACACAAATGGAAGGAATACGAGAGTTTGTTTTACTCTTTTATCTATACTAGTTTTTTGATCGTGCGATGCACGGGCTGGGTTATTTTGAAGGTAATATTAGTGTGTTAAATATGTTAAATTATCGTGAATTACATCGTGAATGTTAGATATGGACAATTTAA